AGAGAGAGAGAGAGAGAGAGAGAGAGAGAGAGAGAGAGACAGACAGACAGACAGACAGACAGACAGACAGACAGAGACAGAGACAGAGACAAAAGCAGAGAGAGATCTTTTGCAAATAGGAAAGAGAACAAAAGCCGGAGAGAGAAGGGAGGAGGAGCGTGTAAGGGAAGGTAATGAGAACGAAAATGTGTTGCGTACATGTGACAACAAGTAATTATTACATATTGTGTGTACTGTTAAAAATATATACATTTTCTCTATATGTACTTGTTGAATTATAACCCTCTGCTGATTCACATGGGCATATGAGACACGCACAAAGTCCCTCTATGTGAAAGAGTGATAGTTTCACTTAATACCATGATGTTATTGTCTTAAAATTCTTAACAATTTGAAAACAAGGAGCCCACATTTTCATTTCATACTGAGGCCTTAAGTTACCTTCAGTCTTGGCACTTCATTTTCAAGATTCTAGATAAATGTGTCATCAAGAATTCTTGCCTAGGGGGACTGAAGAACATCAAGAGTGCTTAGTGGGTGCCCATCAACTTTTCAGCATGAGTGAATGAGTAATTGTTAAAGTTTTGAATAAAAGCAATTAATTTCAACTTTCATCCATTTTACTTTGATGGGATAGGGTGGAGGAGCAATACTAAATTTTTGAGAAAAAATTTTAATATATAATAAAGAACTTAATATACCAAAAGCTTATTTCTATTATCATAATGACAGCTATTATTTTATTTATACAGTTAAAATATTTAAAAAAATAAAAACAGGTAAAGTTTTACTGTCAATCACCACCACCTTCTAAGCCATCTGTCTACCTATGGAAACCAAATGACTACCACAACTGTTAGGAATTTAGGACCCCCCCCCATACACCATGTTCTAAGTTCTAATCCAAAAATGGGCATCTGGGATGAATATATACTTCTCAGGTAAAGAAATACAAAGGCCAAATAAATATATGAAAAAGTGTTCAACATCATAGTCATTCAAAAAATGCAAATTTAAAAACCACTGAGATTCCATCTCACCTCATAAAGAAGGGCTAGCATCAAGAAATCAACCAATAGCAAACGCTGGAGGTGCTGTGGGGAAAAAGGAACCTTCTTCCATTATTGGTGGGGGCGTGAACTGGTGCAACCACTGTGGAAATCAGTGTTGAGATTCTTAAAAGAAAACCAAGAAACTAGAATTAGAGGTCCCATTTGACCCAGTTACTCCCCTTCTGGGTATCTTTCAAGAACATTTAAAAACATCATATCACAGCAATATATGCACACCCATGTTTATAGCAGCAAAATTTGTAATAGTTAAATCTTAGGAATGACTGAAATGCCAATCAACTGAAGACTGGATGCAAAGATGTTTTATTTTGTACAATGGAGTGCTGCCCAGCCACAAAGGATAAACACTGGAGACTTTCACAGGCAAATGAATGCAACTCAAGACTATACTCATAAATGAAATAAATCAGACCCACATGTATAAACATCATACTGTCTCACGACTGTAAGAGGCTGAAAAAGTAAATAAGATCCAAATATACAATAGATATTGTGAAATCAGAAGAAATTGTTTAAAAGAATAGACAAAGTGTGATGGGGAAAGGAGAAAGGAAGCAAGGGAAAAAGAAACATATTTTAAACACAAGACAGTTAAGATACAGCTAGTTTCTCTTATTTCATTGAAAAAATTTTGTGCTAATATTGTTTGAACAAGATATTTATATCTATGTCTATCATCTATCTATTGATCTATCTATCTATCTCATGCCTATATCTTGTACTCTGAATAACTACTATGAAGACAACAATACTCAATGTATTAATTGTTATAACTCTTCCACTAACCTATTTGATATCATCTTTTTTTCTCTTTAAAATAAAAAAATAAGAAATGTTATGATCTTGCAATACTTATGACTTTGTAATGTAAGGGGCAATAACAGTAATATTTTGTGTGAATGTTTTAATATATCTGCTTTAACTATATGCTTTATTCTGCAATCAGTTATTTTCGTTCAATACATTTTTGTAAAATTTAGTGTCTACATAGATACATTTGCACTGGTTGTTAGTTTTTGTGTCTGTGAGAAGATCTGCCCATAGTTAGTAAGTTTGTTTAAAGTTGAGGCAGAAAAGCTTTTCCTTTTGTTTTGGTTTTGCCATTTCCAATTATAAAAGCCATTAGCTGGGTGATTCTGTGCAAATCAAACGTGTTCTGAAAACTTGATTTCACATTTATAAGATAGGATTAATAATTTCTGCCATTTAATTGATTTATGATAAAGGAATAATAGGTGTAAAATCTAACATGTGGGAAAGGTATAAAAAATAGTGGCAGAGATTATCTTACACTGACGTGTGTACCTCTAAGTTGTGAGACCCTAAGCAAGTATGTATCCGTGATTTTGAATTTGCATTTTAAATTTCTTATTGCACTTAGCTTGGATATTTATTGGTCCTGATACTTTTGAGTAATAAATATATTCTACCCTTAACACCTAATCCTGCACACATATTAGAGTATCAAGTTCATGTTTTACAAAATCGAACAATATGACCTTTATGATGTTTTCCAGAAATAAAAATCTTGAGCTCATAAAATTATTATATTATTTCTAAAATGATACCTATATTCTTCTCCATGTGTGATTTTTTAAATTAATTTTATTGAGAAATAAATAGCAATGAGACACTTTCAAAATTGATTAGTAGGACAGTTTCAATAATTAATACATTACATATTGTTGTCTTTGTAGTGATTATTCATAGTATAACATGCAGACATGATATCCTGTCCAAACACTATTAGTAGAAATCTTTCTTCTCACTGAATTAAGAGAAATATTTCTATCCTAACTATTTTGTAATGAAGGTACAAAATGGTCCTTCATTTGTATCCCTTTTTTTGTTCAATTTTGTCAGAGATGGGTATTCCATGTGTGATTGGAAACAAATCAGTTAGGGATTTTAGACTATGATTTTGTCAAATAGAAAGTAAAATGAAAGCTGTGGAATTCTGTCAGGCTCTAACTGGACTGCTTCAATTTAAAATTAAAATCTGAAACCCATAGTAAAATCTTAAGCTATTTTTCATATTCTCTGCAGATTACAAAAAATCTGAAGCCCAAAATTAAATTTAGTTTTCTGAGTATATTAAAGTCTGTGATGTCTTAAAATTTTTGAAAGTATATTCTGAATCTCTCTACAAAGCATATATTTTGATTGTGCAACAGATTTTACACTATTCGCTATAGAGAAAAGGATAAAGAAAAGAAGTGGATATTTCAACTCTGTCCAGCCACTGAAACAATTGTAGACAATCTGAAACCCAACACAGTTTATGAATTTGGAGTAAAAGACAATGTAGAAGGTGGAATCTGGAGCAAAATTTTCAATCACAAGACTATTGTTGGAAGTAAGTATTTGAAACTATTTGTTTCAGTAAGCTTTTATGATTTCCTTCTGTTTTCTAAAAGTCTAAAGCTTAACTATTGTATTAGTTGTATAATAGGAGAATAGTTTATTTCCATGTTTTAAGCTTTTTAGATTATTATTTCGCACAGGGTCTCACAACTCAGCTTGGACTCATAGTGATCCTCCTGTCTCAGCCTCCCTAGTGCTGGGATTACAGGCATGCACCACCACATCTGGTTTTCAGGTGGCATGGTGCCAGTCTGGATGCAGTACCAGAAATTGAACCTGGGTTGTTGCACTTGCCAGACAGGCCCTTAAACCACCGAGCTGTCTCTGCAGCCATATTTTCCATGTTTTGGTATTTAAGAAAATACAAAAAGAATGGAATTTACTATTATTTGAACATTTTCAGGTGCTTTAATAAGTGATAAACTAATGTTTTATATTTCTACTATTGTCATTGGCAACTGTTGGGTCTAAAATAAAGCCACGACCTATGAGCACAACTGATCTCCCAAATTATATAGTAATATTCAAAATGAGAAGGAAGATTGGCAAATGGCATAAAAAGACAATAAGGGACCTTAAGCTTATTTCTAGTTACCTTTCTCTTAGGCCTCATTGGAATCAATATTTGAAAGCAGAGTAACTAAAAATATGCCCAGATTAGACACAGCATGAGTTCTCTTCTCCACAATGATCAACTATTCATTTACAAGCAATAAGAATGAAATAATGATACTTCTTGTTGTTTCAACAGGTAAAAACAAAGTAAATGGGAAAATCCAAAGTACATATGACCAAGTCCACACTGTGGTATGTACCAGTTTATTTTTGAAAATGCATTTTAAAATCTATGTTTTCATTATATTCCTAGTAAAATATGAAATAATTCTATTATGAAATATATAAACTGTATTAACTGACTAGCAATGTGGTGTTGGATAAAGTAGTTAGTGTTTTAAGAATTATATCCTTTTATGAAAGATTCTATGAAATTATACAAAATGGTCTGCATGAAAGACAACTGATTAAAAATGGATTGTGAGGGCCAGAGAGATAGCTCAGTAGACTAGGTGTTTGCCTGGCAAGTGAAAAGATCTGAGTTCAATCCCTGGTTCCACTGGAAAAAAAAAGTGGATTGTGATAGAATAAGTTGTTTGTATGGCTATGATTTTAATTGGAAGAAAAATGTATTCATTATAAAATTATTATTGAATAATTAAAGATATCAGAGTATGATTTTCAGGAAATGATTTTCATGAATTTCAATTTTAAATATAAGAAAAGACATTTCAGCTACACTTTTAGGTTCTGTTTTTTCCATTTTTTTAAGTGGTACTGTTTTTCTGAATATATAATACCTAAAGTTTAGAATGTAAAAAATGGAAAGAAAACATTAACAAGGTTATCTATAATAAATATATTTAAAAGGCATGAAACCATCTACAGTCTATTGTTAAAGCTTTATAATGTTTTTATTTTTTAAAAATTAATTTTTAAGTTAATGGCACAAACATAGGCGGTCCACTGTTATAACTGATACACATGCAGTGTTCTATAATCCAATCAGGATAGTTAACATTTAACTCCTTATACTTTTTAAAAAACTTATTCATTCTCAGTAATTATACAAATTTATGAGATATGATATCTCAATACAAGAATAAAATATGTACTGGTCAAATCAGGATAACTAACATTTACATCTTCTATCATTACTTTGGGTTTGCAGCTTTTGAGCTTTAGTGTTTTAGTAATAAAATATATAGTAGGTTATTGTGAGCTATGTTCAACTCCCTCTGTGCTATGGACCTCTGGAGTTAATTAAATGCATCTAACTTTGTATGGGAGGCTTGCTACAACCTCTCTTTGCTCCTTTGCCCTTCCTTCCTAGCCTCCAATATTTGCTTTATACATTCAGACATAGTTATTTTAAACATCAATATGTACAAAATCTATACAGTATTTGTCTTTTGTGTGCAATTTATTTCTCTTAAAATAATGTCCTCCAGGCCCATCCATTTTGCTACAAATGATAGGATGTCATTCTTTTTATAGCTGAATAATATTCCTTTGTGCCCGTACATATTTTCTTTTACCACCCATCCACTAACCAGAATCTAAGTTGATTCCATATATTAGCAATTGTGAATAGTAATAGAAAACATAGGCATGAAGGTTTCCCTCATATGCTGGTATGATTTTCTTGGGCTATGTTCTTGGAAGTGGGACAGTTGGACTATATAGTACTTCTATTTATAGCTTTGGGGGAACCTACATATTCAATAAATAGTTGTACTAATTTATATTACCACCAACCACATATAAAATTTCCTTTCCCTTCACATTCTCATTGACATTTGTTATTTTTTGTCTTTTTTTATAATAGCCATTTTAATGGTGTTCAGATATCATATTGTACTATTGTTTAACATTTTTAACAGCTAATAAAATCAAGAGATTTTAAATAAATTTATTGGCCATTTGTATTTGTACTTTTCAAAATTATTTGTATCCTTTGCCCATTAAAAAAAATCAAGTCATTGTTTCTTACTATTGAGTTTTTAAAGTTCCTTATATATGGTAGATATTAGTCCTTGTGCTGATATTTTGCACGAGTTTTTCCATTCTGTCAGTTTTTCTTTATTCTCATTTCCTCTGCCAGACAGAAGCTCCTCAGTTTGCTGCATTCCTTTTGTCTGCTTCTGCTTTCATTTTTAGTGCTTTTGGGTATCCAGAAAATGTTTGGCTGCATCAATAATCTTAAGTGTTTCTCACAAACATTTTTTAGTATTTTCAGTTTCTGGTTTTTCCTTTAGATCTTTCATCCTTTTTGAGTTGATTTTTGTGTGAGAGGGAGGAGTTCAATTTCGATGTTTTGCATATGTACGTTCAGTTCTACTGGTCATGTTAATTGAAGAGACTTTCCTTTCTCCAATTTATGTTTTCTTTTGTTGCTGTTGAGAGATACTTGACTACAAATGCCTAGGTTATTTCTGGGCACTCTATTCCATTGTATTTATCTGTGGGTCTAAAGCTTCAGAGCAGTTTGTTTTTCTAGTTTCTAAACATGGGTTAGAGTTTGGATTTGAAGTGTCTCCCAAAACTCAAGCACTAAAAGTTTGATTGGCAGCTGATGAGGGGAGATAATGAGACCAGTGAGAGCCCAGACTTCACCAGGTGGATTAGTCCGTGGATGAGATCATAATTTGGTGGCATTACCAAGAGGTGACGGGAACCTTTGTAGGGAACGGGCCATGGGGTGTGAACTTCAGAACTATTTCTGACCTCCTGTCTCTTCTCTGCTCTCCCTCATCCTCTGCCTCTAGCTGTTATAGGTAGCAGATCTCCTCTGCCACACCTTGAGGTAGTATCTCTGCCTCACAACAGACCTATTAGCAATGGAGCTGGCTAACCATGGACTGAAACCTTTGAAATCATGAGCCAAAATTCACCAGTCCTCCTTAAAATGCTTTGTCACAGCACTAGAAAGTACACTAAAGCACCATGTTTTCATTACAAAATTAAAAGCATACTACACATGCAATTTTATGTTTTGTTGTTTTCACTTAATCAAAATGTGGCATAAGCTTATTTCATGTTATTAAATCTCCTCATAATTTTTTAAATTGCTGTATATTACATAAACACATTATCATCTACTTAGTTTCCAGTTTTTAGGCCTCACTAGGCATTGAACTCAGGACCTCACCCTTGCTTGGCAGACAAGTTAAATTGCCACTGAACTAAATTCCCACTGCTAACATTTATTTCTGATTATTTGTTTGGTTGTTTGTTGGTTTGAGACAAGGTTGCCAGGCTGGGCTTAAATTTATAATCCTCCTGCCTCAGATTCTTCAGTGCTGGAGATGTGGACAAGTGCCACCACCTCACTTATTTCTTTGGTTATACTGAGCACATTAAAAATCTTTGTTCACACTTCTGGTTATTTCCCTAAAGCATTTCAAAGTATGTATTAATAATTTCTAGTTTTACTATTTTTAAGTCTTCCTTATATATGTCAAATTTCTTTCCAGGAATGTTTTGAAATTTATGCTCTTATCAGAAACATTATATATTTGTATCATTAAAGTTATGGTTAATATAATAGCTTAAAATGGTTATTTTAATTTTTGTTTATTTGCTTCTGCTAAAGCAATATTTTTTCACTTTATTATACAGTTATATTAGCTTGTTGAATACTTCATGGAATTTTACCAAACAGTTGAAGACTGTACAGATTAAATGATATTTTTCCTAACACTTGTTAATTTTATTTATGGGAATTTTTGAAATTTGCTCAAATTATTAGACTTTTCCCTTGTCATATCTTCAGCTGCATTATATTGAAAAGTCTCTAGTCCTCTTAGAGTAGATACTGTAACTATTTCCTGCCTATTTTTACTTTGATAAGTGGCTTAATTTTGCCATGATTAAACTGCATAGGTTTTATTTTTTTCTAGGTAGTAAGGTTCTTTCTTTATTGGGCTATGCATTTCTTCTGAATAACTGATTAGCCCAGAACAATGCCTTCAACTGTGTCACTCTCTAAGGTCTTTTTGGTTTTCGCTCTCTTAAATCCATCACTATCATGTATGCAAGATAAATCTCCTGTAGCTCACAGGTGCAGAGGGAGTACAGTTGCCTTCTCACCCTCTTCTAGGTCAGTTGTCATTCTTTGTTGAGAATGGTTTCCTAGGAAGCACGGCTTATCACTTCCTTCTTGGCTGTCATGTTCAATCTTTCATGTGACTCCCCGCTGTTTTTCTTTCCCTCCTTCTTTTCAGCTATCATAGCTCCATAATTTTTATTTCTTTTGGCAGAATAGCTTTCTAGGGTGAGTTACTCAGCAAGATTGGGAAAGATGACTCATACTTTTGTATGAGGGAATATCATTTTTTGTTCCTCATAAACATCCCTGATAGGAGGGACTAGGGAGAAGTTTCCTGCATCTGTGACCCGGACTGAGAGGTTTTATCACTTCAGGCTGTGAAGTGTTGCACCTTCAACTCCAGTCAGCTCTGCTTCAAAACTCTTGGTTATTTCCAAACGAAAATGCAGATTCATTGAAAAGATATTTTAAGGCTTCTCTGTAAAATTTTATGAGTACATTTTGAGGAGCAGAAAAATGTTTCGGGAATTGCATCTACCCTGTTAGCTAGCTCTGGGACCTGGAAGTGTCGGAAAAGATTCATAAAAGATATCCTTTGCCCACCTACATGCCTGCACAGAACTGACTCTGAAAATTGGTTTGATATTTTAGAGGTATACCACAATCCAGAGGAAGTCTGTGTTCAAACATCCACCTATGTCTTCTCAGAGATTTGTCTTAGATGACAATGTTTCAAAAAATAAGAAATTAACTCCTGATTTTTTAAAAGTTTAAATCAAAAGATGCATTGAAAAGTATTTTCATTCATCTGTACTTTCTTATCCATAAACCTCATAAACAGCAAAAACTCCTCAGTACTTTTCTAAAAGAGGTTCAAAACGGGAAAACATTTTGAATTACAGGCTTTTTAAAGAGACAACTAATCTAGTTTAAAATTTTGAGTATTAAGTGCATTCCATCTTATCTGGTTACATGATATACTGTAATAGCATCCTTAAATTATCACTAATTTTACTAAATCTAATTTTCAAAATAAAACTTGAATCAGGAGAAAGTTAACATGATTCAGAGTGAATTACCTATCTCTGGCCTTGTGTGGCAGCTACTGAATTTATTTCTAAGTAATCCAAGGCTAGTTTGTCTCCAAAGGTATTACTTTTACATTTTTAGGCTTCCTTCTCCATTGACTATCATTAGCTGC